CAGCTCCATTTTGCAAACAAGAAAACTGAGGCTCAGAGGCTTTAAAATGTTGCCAAAGCATACAACAGAGAATAACAATTCAAACCCAGGTCTATCTGACCCCCACAGTCCAAATTCTTTTCGCTCTGTTAAGTCCATGCTTAGACTGTGGTCTGCACTGTGCCCACATCCAAGTATCGCCGGGGAGGGGGAGATTTTTTACTGCAGTTCAATGGGCAGAGCTCACAGTGGTCACATCTCCATAGGCACTGTCAGCAAGAGCTCCTGGATTCTTCTTGTACAAATTCCTCATCACACTCTTCTCTCGGTGTGTGTAATGGTGGGTTATTGTTACTGTTTAGTTGCCTGACGAGTTTCTCGCTCCTAGATCCAGGTGATGGAGCAGATCCTGCTGTCCTTGGGATTATCCCCTCTTGATGAGTGGTGACCTCAGGATTGGAGACAGCTAACCTGCAGGCAGAGAGAGGGGGATGTCAAAGGTTTCTCCACTCAATTTGGAATGATGAACTGGAATAATTCTGGCAGCAGGGCTCATGGAATTGGCCTCAACCAGCCATCTTTCTCAATTTTTGTGTTTGAGGTGGAGTGTTTGGGCAAAGTGTCACTTACATCATCTCTTTTCCACTGTAGATATTCGAAAAGCACTCTCTATTACCTGGGATAATACTCACCAGTTATCATTGAACAGACTGGACTGCATTCACTGGCCCCTCTTCCCTGCCTTTATGCTCAACTTTGCAAGTATCTTTCACTGAAAATGCCTCCCAGTTCTTTATTCTGTCACCAAAATTCTATACCTGCTCCAAGGCCCTGCTCAATTTAATCAATTTATCTCCTCCAAGAAACCGCCTCCAAATCCTTCTACCCCACTGATGGCTTCTTTATTCCAAATTCCTCACAGTTAGAGTAATAACAGCATTTCTTAAATAGTATCTAGTTGTTTACTTAAATAAGCAATATCATATGGCCCAACAGTTAAATGTATACAGAGTATACAAATAATAAAACTAAAAAAAAAAAAAAAGAGGTCTTCTTGTTCTAGCTCCCAGTTCCTGAGCCTTCCAGAGATATCGTAACAAACAAATGTGCTTAAAAAAATCCATC